GGGGGGGGGGGGGGGGGGGGGGGGGGGGGGGGGGGGGGGGGGGTTAGCCGTTCATGCGTGCGTGCACTCCGGGAGCCCCCTTGAAGTAGTCGTAGAGGGGTTCAGGGCTAGAATGGGGGTAAAGGGTTACATGATTTGTATGGTGCGGGCATGCTCCGTGAAACGGATCGAGCGGGAACGGTCATCACCTTGATAGTTGCCGTGCATGCGCTGTGGCGGTGGATCTTTTCATGTTTTTGCTCCCGTCCAGACTGCTTGCTGCAAGTGTCGGTTGTGCTCCCAGCGCTATCGCCTGTGTGCGTGCGCAACCCAATGGCAAAATCACCTTCCCGTGCGGTAGGTGATCAAGAACGTTGCGGCGTTCTGCCTGTGCGCGGGAACGGGCCAGCTGTTCGTGTTCTTCATCATCAAGGAGTTCGGATCGTTGGTGAACGTGACCGTCACAGTCTCCCGAAAGTTCTTCAGGTGTGTCTATTCTGTTCCATCCCATGTTCCCTTCGTTTTCTTATCGACTTGTGCACGCAGAGTTCCTGTCTGTGCGATTCTCCTGGTATTTGGGTCCGCGTGTTAGAGCACGACAAACGGCCCGGTTTTTTCCCGAGCGTGAAACCCTTCGAGAATGTTTTTGTTTTCTTGCGAGTTGTGCGCGGGAACGATGACCGATTTCTGGCGGGAGGCACCGAGGCGTCTCGCAATGTCGAGCCCGCCGTTGTGCCGTTGCTTGTGTCGCCATGTCGAGCCCCCCCCCCTCTGCATGAGACGGGACCTATTCCTCCAGACTCGCCCGCTCCCACCCCACCACCCCCCGTGCTCCTGGTGCCTGGTTTGTCACTTCCGCGCGACACGTATTTCTCGGGCACTGGCACAAACGCCACGCCCGACAGCGTCCTCGTCTCCGTTTACGTTTACGGCCACCGCCTAGCCTTGCGGCAGTGGGTGGGGGTCTTGTGTGTGTATGGGGGGTTGGCTCTGAGCATTTGGACGAGGTACCGCACCGGCGGAAAGAAGAAACATAGCTCCCGCTCGGAGTTGGAATTGGAACCCTTGACCAGCCCGTCGTCGCCGACTTCGAGACATCCCCTGGGCGGCAGAGGGTAGATAGTCCCGGGGGGCGGGGGCGCCGGGCGAGTAGCACCGCCAGCGACCGCCGCAGCTGCGCTAGCGGTACGGTAGAGGAATCAGGAAGACGTCTCTCCTGTCGTGGCCGGAGGGTTTTTGAGGTCGGGCGAAGAGATCCGACGCCCGTACTCACTTGTACGCTGCCGGGAATAGATGAACACGAGCAATATCAAATCAGCACCATGTGTTTCAAAGAGTATTAATTGGTGGTGATTGCGTTATAAACGACTCTGCTCGGAACGGTAGAACGTAGAAAAAGCTTAAAAGGAATTTTCCTGTACCCCCCCCCCCGCTCCCCCACCGCCCGCTGTTCCGCCCCACTGCCCGCGCGCGTGCATCACGGCGGTACCACCATGCATGGTACACAGCATCTTGATTTCGGTGGTTGTTTTCGGGCACAGCGTGATGTGGTGGCAATGGGTAGGCATTTTGAGTGTGTTCGGCGGGTTGACGTTGAGCGTCCGGGCGAAGTACGCCGCGAAGAAGGGGAGCGTGGAAACGCGGACGGACACGAAGGGAGCGGGGGCACCTTGGGCAATGGCGGCGGTGAACGGGTCGGGAGCGGCTTCGTCCGGTGTTGATGGAGGCGACAGCCAGAAGAAGGAGCTGTGAACGAAAGTATTGTAGCGCGCCCCGCGGGTTTTGTGTTTTGCAGCGGCCAGTATCTGCTGCCTGCCAATGAAGGTAACCGCCTGTTGCCGCACTTCTTGGATAGATGCCTTTCGCGTCGCCCCACACGCACTATGCTTGTAGCCCCCGTTATTAGTTGTGTAGAGTTTCTTGCTATAAATAGGGAATTGTTGCTAGCGTTCAAACCTTTCGTTTCTGAGAGAATTAAGGGTGTGGCCTGGACAAAGAATCTACAGTTTCTGTCTCGTAAAAAAAAAAAATCGTTGTCAGGACCTTCACTTTTACGACGGGGTCGACGTTCTGGTCCTTTTGCCGGGCTGGTGTTCCTTATTTGTCTTCGGTGTGTATTTAGTGACTCACGTGATATGGATTGATTTTTTGTTTTTCGTGTTTTTCGATAAATACACATATCGTCAAGTTTAGTTGTCATGTTGTCGTTTTCGATGCTTTTGCAGCTCTTCCTATAATGGCATGTGGTTGAGATGGAGGAGTCGCTCTCCACCGGTACATAAAGAATGTAGAGGGTCCGAGCGCAAGCTGTTTCAGAGCGAAGCGAATATAGGGCGGCACACCCGTTTGTTGAGATGCCGGGAGAAGCTACCGACGAAGTCAATACCATCACTTATTATGCAGTTTTGTTTGTTGTTGAATCTATCAACATGGAGGGGGGGGGGTGTACTCGCAAGTCAAGTGAATCAGGTTTTCGCGCGTTTTCGCGCAACACGCACTTTCGTCGGTTGAAGCTGAGTTAAATTTTAGAATCTTTCCCACATACAACGCTACGTTTATCGTCGGAAGGTTGCCTTTCCTCCGAACTGGAGTCCCGGAACCTAGCCAACTCGGAACGGGTGTCGAGGCTAAGACAACCGAACCCCCTCCCCGGCTCCCCTGTCGTCGAATTAGACCCGACTGGGTTTTCTTTCGGGGAGGGGTGAGCGTTGGAACTGCGTGTTCATGTGGGGACCTCGTGTGCCGTGTCTTGCGAAGCTATATCTTTCCTGATTCAACCGCGGAAATTGGAACGCGGTGAGAGTTATTAGGTGGTATACTTCTAGTGTATTTCGCTACATGTAATAGAAGACTGTTTCATCCCCCCCCGGCGCTTCGCGCTTGGTGATGTGAGATCCTGGTCCGGTGAGAACTCGGCGTGCTCCGTCCCGGCTTTGTAGGGATGCGAGGTCAACGGTCTAACGACACGGCATGCACGACTATGAGTACCCCCCCCCCCTCCCCCCCCAACCACCGCCGTCGTTAAGTTGGCCCGAGGTTATTCAACGCGAACTTAACGCTCAGCCTTCCGACGATTGATTGCATTTAGTCGCGTCGTGTCGCCGTGGGGGCAGTCACGGTGCCTTCTTGTAAAAAGCAGGCGTAAAGCCACGCAGGATGGATAATCCTCTTTCGTGTGAAGCATTTCAGATTACAAGGTTTAAAACCATCAGCGAGGAGTTTTGGAAGCGGGAGATCATGGAAGCGCAGTTTTTTCTAGACTACACTCGTCGGATAATTACCTTGACATACATGCTGCCCAGCACGGACCGGATCGGCTTTGAAATATACAGGCACATGAACTTCAGCTGTTAAGCAGCGAACGCTGCGAGCCTTAGTTGGGTGCACGGTGTCGCGAAGGCGGACTTTCAACGAATGACTTCTTCGTCAACAGGTTAGGTAGACTGAAACGTTACTATTAATAGTCTAAACGTTTCAGGAAGAAGGCAAATTTTAAAACATTGTTAATCTGTCTATAACTCTTTCCTATGATAAGAGATGGACTCGTTGTGTCATATAAAAAAAAAAAAAATGAAAACAAGTGTCGCCATTGCGGCGCCGTTCGTCTTTCGTGTTGCAAGTTTATGTGGACTCAACTCGTAAATATATAGGTGTTGGACAAATATTCGTCATCAAACACCAACGCCTGTCTGGCGAGGCAGTGGCGCAGAACTTCCTCGCTGCTGCTGGTGTGGTCGGTGCAAGCAAGTGTCGAGAGAGGCACGCCGCACAGACCGTTACAAGCACACATGCTGTTTATGACATAAGATAACACACCCCCTTGATCGATTTTCGACGCTCCATTTCTAAACAGCAGGAAGATTTACAGCGCCGTTTCGGCGCCGTTATTAGAACCGTCTTACCGAGAAGTTGTCGAAATGTGCCATTTCGTTTATGTAACCTCTTCGCTAAGTCTTCGAGCTTTAAAAATCGGTCCAGGGGGTGTGTTATCTTGTGTCATTTTCGTGTAGCTTACCTACATCATCGGACCGCAAACCCCCCGCACCATCCCCATCATGTAAAAACTGCAGCCTCGCACTCGCACCTCTGCCGCTGCACCACATCTCACGTTCCTCTCCGTACTGGCCCGCAGGTATGATGGCAGGACTCACCAACAGCTATGACACAACTCGTGTTTGTGGCATTTACCTCTGCTGTGTGTGCGTGCGCCCCACGCCATTTTTAAGGGCACATGGTCCTAGACTATTTGTCTTGCTAAAACGTCACAGAGCTTGCGTACTTCCTTGTACAACAGAGCCTCTTTGCTGTATCTACCTTGCGGCCTTCCCTTTCTTGTTGAAGACATCCGATCCGCGTTCACTCATACGTTCCTCTGCGGCGCATGGCGCATGCCTTATCTCAACTTGTTGCCGCGCGGGGCCCGGACCCGGGGGTCCGGGGTAAAGGCAGCTAAACTGTGTTCGCTTTTCTTTTTCTCCCTCAGATGCAGTTCATTGGCCGACGACCACAGCGCTGCCTACTTGCTGAGTGTGTTTTGGTGCTGGTTTCTCAACACCACCAGCCCGCACACAGCGGCCGCACCCACCACACGAGCATGGCTCTCAAGGCGTACCCCACCAAGGCCTCAGAGGGCGGACCTGAAATTTGGTGCCAACCTTTAGGGAGGGTGAAGAAAAATAAGTGATTTTGACGCTGGCTCTATTTCCATAACAAAACGAGGTGTACGTAAACCGTTGCGGATAGGTTAACGAGAAACAATAACGGTTGAGCCGTCCTCCCCAACATTCTGCTCGCGAACTCCGTTGAATAAATATCAAACAATGCGAGTAGTGTTTTGCAAACGGGCCCGCCTCGACTCAGGGGGTGAATTGATACTGCTGTTTCTGTTCACCTTTGGTCCATAATATTGAAACAGGTTGAATTGAATAGCCCGCAAAGCTAAGTAAGTGCCTGCTGGTGATGATTCGAGGCCGCCCCCTTAAGTCAATCACGTACTCATGCAGCCTTTTGCGACCCTCGGCACGCACCTACAGTACTTGGTATGACACCGGAATCTACGGAGTTTTCTCCCCCTGGTACAGGTTTCCCCCTCCCGCAAATACCTTTCGACCTGGGAGCATGGTTTCGTTGATGTAGCCCCGGGGTAGATCGTTTTCGACCAAAAGCAAAAGATCCCCCCGGTTATTTCAATTTCTACCCGGGGTTCCAGTTTTCCCACGAGTTCCCCTCGGGGGAATGTATTTCTCTTACTTTCTGAGTCGATTTTGTTACATCGCAGAGCACAAAAAGCATGATATGGGACGGAAAATTCATTTGCAGATCTGCGCTTCGAGCTGGCGGGTACTCTCTGGAAGGCGGGCCCTTCTCTTTTTGGAATCACTCGCGGGAGGAGACAAACTCCCCCAGCTGCTGTCCGCCTTGTTGTCTTGTTTCCCTTCGCCTTCGAAGCCCTTACGTTCCTCCTCCCTCTGCTTGTTGGGGATGCATGCCGTAGTCGTTAGACCATTGACCTCGCATCCCTACAAAGCCGGGACGGAGCACGCCGAGTTCTCACCGGACCAGGCTCTCACATCACCAAGCGCGAAGCGCCGTGAGATATTCGGCGAGTCGCATGAAGGGTGCGCTGCACCCTGCTTAGGGTTTTCGGCATCTTGTGCTTACTTCCTTGCGTACGGATGACAGCTGCGTCTGAATTAATTTATTTTCTGGTGCTTTCACTTCCAGAGACAGTTGTAAGCACTGCGTAACTGCCTCGAGGGTGCTCGACCATTTCAACACAACGTGGTGCGATCATCCCCCTTGCGCGGAGTGAGGGTTCTCGACCCCGCACAACATGATCTACTCGACCACCATTATGGTTACCGACAAAAAAATAACAGAGGAAAATAATCCACGGTATCCTGGTTGCCGAGTTCACGAAGTGAATTAGCTTGTATTACAACGTGGTCGCCAAGCGACGAATACCCAATCCCGATGGCAAAAACCGGGGGGCACAGGGGATGGGGGGGGTGTACTCATAGTCGTGCATGCCGTAGTCGTTAGACCATTGACCTCGCATCCCTACAAAGCCGGGACGGAGCACGCCGGGTTCTCACCGGACCAGGCTCTCACATCACCAAGCGCGAAGCGCCGTGAGATATTCGGCGAGTCGCATGAAGGGTGCGCTGCATCCTGCTAAGGGTGTTCGGCATCTTGTGCTTACTTCCTTGCGTACGGATGACAGCTGCGTATGACTTAATTTATTTTCTGGTGCTTTCACTTCCAGAGACAGTTGTAAGCACTGTGTAACTGCCTCGAGGGTGCTTGACCATTTTAACACAACGTGGTGCGATCATCCCCCTTGCGCGGAGTGAGGGTTCTCCACCCCGCACAACATGATCTACTCGACCACCATTATGGTTACCGCCAAAAAAAAAACCGGAGGTAAAAAAAAAAAACGGTAACCTGGTTGCCGAGTTCACGAAGTGAATTGGCTTGTTTTACAACGTCGTTGCCAAGCGACGAAAACCCAACCCCGATGGCAAACACCGGGGGGGGCGGCTTGTTTTACAACGTCGTTGCCAAGCGACGAAAACCCAACCCCGATGGCAAACACCGGGGGGGGGCTTCCCCCCGGAGAAGCGTTGGAACAAAAAAACTGACCCCTCGCTGTACGCCCCCCCCCGGTACTTGCCATCGGGTTTGGGTTTTCGTCGCTTGCCAACGACGTTTGTAGAACAAGCCAATTCACTTCGTGAACTCGGCAACCAGGTTACATTTCTTTTTTTTTACCCCTGTTTTTTTTATTGGCGGTTACCATAATGGTGGTCGAGTAGATCATGTTGTGCGGGGTCGAGAACCCTCACTCCGCGCAAGGGGGATGATCGCACCACGTTGTGTTGAAATGGTCGAGCACCCTCGAGGCAGTTACGCAGTGCGTACAACTGTCTCTGGAAGTGAAAGCACCAGAAATAAAATGAATTCATACGCAGCTGTCATCCGTACGCAAGGAAGTAAGCACAAGATGCCGAACACCCTTAGCAGGATGCAGCGCACCCTTCATGCGACTCGCCGAATATCTCACGGCGCTTCGCGCTTGGTGATGTGAGAGCCTGGTCCGGTGAGAACCCGGCGTGCTCCGTCCCGGCTTTGTAGGGATGCGAGGTCAATGGTCTAACGACTACGGCATGCCCGACTATGAGTTCCCCCCCCCCCTCCCCGCGGTACGTCAATTTCCCCCCAGGGGGGTTGGTGTTAGAAAAACAAACGATCCCCTCCCTGGGGGGTAAACTCCGTACACGGGGTTACGGTAGGTCCCTTGTTTCACGAAACATGAGATGTCCTCCAGTCCTGTTCGACGGTTAGGGGTTAACCACGTGGCACGTCTCCTGACACGCAGACGGGATTGAAAACGTTCGTTATGCATGCTGCATACAATAGCTCTTGGCAGACCGAAATCTTCTTGGGTTCACTGTTGCTACCCTCCTTGTGTGAACCACGGTACTTTGAGCCAGGAAATCATCAGCGACTATCGTGTACCCTTAGCTTCTTCGATGCGAACCCGGCGACGAGTAATTCATCTGAAGATACCGTGCTGCGCCTTTGCTGCTGCTGACGGTTTCGGTGGTAATAAGAGAAGTTTCGATTAACTCGAATCCCTGTGCTACATACCATTTCCGGGCTGCGGCGACTCACACACCACAATTTTTGGTTGACCAACTTTTGTTTGGCGACCAGGCTGTGGCGATGCTCGTGATCTTCTGGCGCTTCGAAACCCCAATTTGCATGCATCCTTTTTTGAGGGATTATTTAGGTGCTTGCACCTGCTCACGCCTCGGCTCCACTTACGAGCGATCCCTGAGCGAAATATCTTCCAAGTCTACTGTCCTTCAACATTTCCGCAGCCAGATCAGAAGACCAAAGGCGGTTCGCTGTTTCGGCCTTCGCGCACCATGGTGGTATTCTGGATCGAGGCCCTCGTTGGGATCGGCTTCACTCGGACCCTCACGAACGAGCCCATTCCATGCCTTGACTTAACTTTCGTGCCCCCGCCTCTCGTTTTCCTTTCCCTCACAGCTGGGGAACCCGTTATCGTCATATTGCCAACCAGAAACCTCCGCGTGTACACGAAACGACTCGGTGCACATACCTAGTCGAGTTACAGCGGACGTCTCGATGGCGACCTTCCTCCTCCTGGACGCCACGGACCAAGCCATCACCCTGTGCTGGGAGCGCGGACCCGACGTCTTGGTCGAGGAAGTGCAAATGAAAACCACGCCCACCGCCGACCAACAAAGGCAACAGCAAGAGGTGAAGGATGGGAGTGAAGTGGGCAACGAGGTGACGCAGAGCAGCGGCTCCGACGGCGGCGGCCTCGGCGACGAAGGCGACTGGGTGACGCTGTCCAAATCGCTGGGGTCTAGCGCCCTCAGGAAGAAAAAGCTCGCCCCCGGGACGGAGTACGTGTTTCGACGGAGGGCGAGAAAGCAGGTGTTTGCGCACGCATATCTTTTTATTCTGGTATTGACCGCGCGTGTGTGCTTTCTCTTGTTGCCATGCGGAGACCGCTACACGCAGGGACGCCCTTGCCTGATTCGACCATGACTTTTGCTCTGATGCCGCACTATTTAGCGCGGCGAAGCCTGCGTGTTGAGCGGGGCACGATTTTGTGTCTTTGTGGTTGGATGCTACTACAGAGCAACACACGACCCGGTTCCGTGAGAAAAACGCTTTCAAGTCTTTGGAGATGCTTCACGGGGCGTTTTTAACGTTTGAACCGCTCGGTCAAGTCGAAAACAACATAGCTGCGTGACATGTCGCAGTAACCTACTCTTCAATTGGTTGTTGCCGACGGTAGAAGACGTTTGGTGTGGCGGAATATGGTAAAGGACATTGTTGGAATCCCGGGAACGTACCACAGGTGTGCGGATCGTAGCAATGGTGTTCCATCGTTGTTCAAGATCCCTACCCCTCCCCCGTGAGCACTGTCACCAACGTATGTACATATTACGTACAGCTGGGAAGTCTCATAGCCCGATATCCTGCTCCTTGTGCGTACGTATGTGTGTAAACTTTGGAAGGAGGAGGAGGAGTGGGGGCCATGGTCCAAGACTTCCGAGCCTTTCCGAACGCTCTCGGAGGGGGAAATGCAGCCAAGCGCTCCGGAGATCAAGCTGCGTGAGGCCGGTGCTCTTGTGGTGAGAGGGTAAGGTTAAGGACGGAAGGAAGGAAGGAACGGAGATTGTTGTTGTTGTTGTTGTTGTTTCTCACATTAGCTCTATAGTCCACAAACAATGGGGAGGCCGTGGTCTCAAAACCCGGCACATACGACGCCGCGAGAAAAAAAAAAAAAAATAGGGTACAAACCACTCAGAAATAGAAAACAAAATGATAGAAAGAAAAGGACAGGTATCGCACCGACCGTTCGAGAAAAGAGCCCTCGGAAACCGATCAAAATAAAACAAAACAAAAGTAACAGAAAAATAAAGGAGGACGCTTCCCACACCCGCCGAAAGAAAAAATCAAAGGGTAACGTACCAGCACCAGGCACTGCGCACCAGGGCATGGGAGTAACGGAGCAAACAGGGCAAAGAGGCGGCAGATGGGCAGACAGCCAGACGTACAAAAACAAAGGCAACAGCAAAGCGAGATCAAGGTACCCAACACAGCAGAGTACGGTGTACGGCCTTGATACGCGCGTAATGCTGGCGGATATGTCGGCTGTCTGGTTTCTCATGACACAGAGATGAGACTGGATTTTTTTTCCGCCGAAGTGTCCTGAATTTTTTTTATCACGAACTTGTCACGAAAGTGACAAGGGAGGGTGGACGAGCACCTACATTCCGTGACCGAGCGAGATAGGCAGGCTGCCGCTGTGTGGGATGCTTGCCTGTGTCATGGCGTCATGACCACTCCTTCGCTTGGCGTGCCGTCGTCTGAGCAGATGGAGTGGCCAGCAGTTCCATCTGCAAGCGGTTACGAGATTCAGATGAGCACGTCGGGTAGCGAATGGTGCACGCTCACGGCCTCGTTTGGGTCTACCCTCCTCAGGAAGAAAGGTACAGTACTCTTCCCGCAACCCCTTGAAACTTTTCTACCCTATCCCGGCGAGCTGAAGTATCCTGGCCGAGCAGGTGTATCTTCCTCCAGCGCCAAAAAAGCACATTCCATACTACGTGAAATCGCAAATATCAAGTCAATATTGGATTAACCCGAGGCTTAAAGACATGAAAGAGCGCAAGTTCCCTTCGCTTCCCGTTCGTTCCACACGGCTGTGGACCGACCGCACAGGCCTAGAGAGCTCCAAGCAGTACCGGTTTCGACTCCGGCCCGTGTTCGACAGCGTCACGCAAGAGGGAGGGGGTGAATGGGGGTGGTCCCCTTCGTCGGATCTCGCCTCTCCGGCGGTGCTGAACTCCTTCTTGCGGTCTCAAGCGCCGGCGGAGTTGGTGGGGAGAGGGAAGGCGGTCGTGAGCAGAGACATCCTCGCGGGGAAGATTGTTGGTGAGCCAGCCAGCCGCAATAGGCTACTGCTGTCATACGGTTGGGGCGAGTTGTAGGAGTAATGTCTAGTGGTGGGCATCCCCTTGCACGGAGATGGGAAAGGCGTTAGCACGGTGTCTTAGTTTTGGCTAGCTCCGGCCACCCTCTCAGATTGACTTCTAAAAGATACTTCTATGTTTGAGTGGGTGCTCGCGCCTGGTTGTGTCGTTCGCGCTGGTGTTCGCTCCAAACGCTGGGTGTTTATGGCTCGATGCGGTATCGTTTCCACTCAGCTAAGGCAGGATAAGGTAGTAGAACTACCTTTAGTGGGCTATTCTTCTTTCGTGTGGCTGACCCTGGTATCCCTCGCACACGCCAACCTGCTGACTGGTGTGGTCCTGTGTGGTGTGATGGAATCTGCTCGATGGCGCCCTCACCGTCAGCCTTCTACTTTTCGGCCTCGTGGTGTGGGTGAGTCAATCTCCGGAGGTGTGGGGAAGTAAGATTTTCTGGCCCCAACCAATTAATTGCAGGATAACCAATAGTTCTAGTCCCACTCTTTGGTTTCGGTTCTAGCCCTTGCCTCGAAACATTCACCTCAAGCTATTTTTCCCGTTGTATCTTGTACAGTACGCCCTTCCCTCAATTCAACCGCACGCACCCGTGATCGCCGTGAACAGCTGTGCGCAAGTGCGCCATCCACGGCATTATCTGCTTGGAGGATACTCCGGTGGCGACGCCGAGGTTGCCGTTGCAAACGTACTTTTTTTGTCCTTTCGGGCGGCCCGTTGTCGACGTCTGCCATTTTGCAATTTCGTGTAACGCAATCGTGTTAATAAGTTACCACAGGTGTGTACCAACGACAGCAAAGCCACGGTGTATCCATCGATACGCTGATGCCACACTGACCCGTGCCAACTAATCCGCGCACACCCACGTTCATGTACCTGTGCTCCCATGCATCCTCCTCATTATCACCGTCACCGCCATGATGGTTTCAAAGTCCGTGCCGAAAGTACACTCCGCAGTTAGCGGCCCTGTACACCCGGGCCAAGGCCCAGCACAAGGCGTTCGAGGTGGTATTCGTCAGCCTAGACGGGGACGAGGAGTCCATGGACAGGTACGGCCTAGACTGCCACGGTTGGCCCGTCTGGCTGGCCCGTTGTCATTCCGAATCGCATTTTTTCAGGCGTTGTCATTCCGTACCGTTTATGTTGCGTGCAATAGTACGGGTACGTAGTGTTGTACCGTGGTTTCATCATGAATTGGAGAAGTCATCCCGCCCACCCCATTTTTTCTCTCACCTCGGGGTGTGCCAGAGAAGTTGGTGTATCGCGGTCCCCCCCCCCCCCCC